ATAAACGTTACATAAAAGGCCTATCAACAGGCTAAGGTACAAACTAACTAGTTCTCAAATAAACTTACGTTTGGTTTTTCTTCTTCTTTTTGGTAGGTCGCTTGGATTTTTCAGCAGCAGGTGGCGGAGCTTTGCGCGGCTGTCGCGTGGATCGTTTGGGTCTGTAATCATCCTCCTCATCCTCCTGTCGAGTTGGGTAAAGCAAAAGAGCTTATGTTTTTGGAGTCAGTTAATCAGAAGCTTGAAACTTACACTGCTGCTACTGCTGCTAGAGGATGTGGGCGAGGCATTGTCAGAGCTATCACTGGCATCATCTTCATCGGCGCTGGCTTCGCTGGTGGCCTGCGTCTTTTGTGGCTGCTGGCCATCATCGTCATCTTCATCATCGTCGTCATCGTCATCCTCCGCGCCAGCCTTAGCCAACGTTGCGGCAGAGGTGCCCGAAGAGCTGCTGCTACTACTCGTGTGCAATTTGCTATTGTTGATGTTGTTGTTGCTCGTCCTGTCAGGCTCGCCGCCAACGTCCGCATCAGATTCGGAATCACTGGCGCTGGAACCGGCACTAGAGCTGTCGTCGTCGTTTCCATCCGTAAAGCCATTCGTTTTGGTATCTGCTTGAGCGGCCGCTGCTGTTGGTGGAAAACCCGCCACCGCCGTTTTGGCAACCGTTGGCTCCGGCGAACTGCGTCCATCGCTGGAATTACCTGAGGAACTGTCTGAATCGGAGTCGGTACCGGAGGAGCCACTCCCACTACCGCTGCCACTGCCACTGGCTTCTTCACGTGTGTCATCTTGTTCGTCTGAGCCTATACTATGCGACGATTCATTGAGTGCCTGTGTGAGAATGAAGAGCACGATTATATCCAATTTAATATAGAGAGCTTAAAGGGAGCAAACTAGTTTCCAAAAACTTAAAGAGTACCACGCGTTCGAAAACCGTTTTATTTACAACAAAACTTATGTCAGTCCACAATTTAACCGAATGTGCTTAAGAAAACACGTAGAAAATACAAATATCTGCAAGCTTTGTGCCAACATAACTTAATATGTAACACTTTCAATTACTCTCACTGATTACATTCGTAGTGAAGAACTTATCCTGTCAAGAACAGATTTACTGCAATGGCGTTTAATATTCCCTCGATCGAGTTTACAAATGAAGTTTAAGCCAGGATTCATTGTTCAGTATCGCTAAAACATAAGGTATTATGCAAGGTATAACTGCATCTAATCTCTACGTGCCCTTTTAGAGACACATCCTTAGGTTAACCACCATTAATTGTTCGAAAGCAATTAGAAATTTAAAGAACTTACCACACACTGTAGGATAAAGAGTATGGTACAAGTTCGTAATATGTTAACACAAGAACTTAAATATACACTTATTCCTGGCTAAGAATACGAGGTATCCTTGTATAATCGAAATAGCCTCAAAACGCGTATAAATCGAAGGAGTTCTTGCAGTTGCCGCATCCAAAGATGTCAGCAATGTAGGTGCCTTGGCTTGCAACACAAAAAACCTTCTGTAGAATGCAGTTGCACAAGTAATCCTCTCCAGAAATGCAGTTTGTAGCCTTTAAAGAACGGTTTTTGTTGTCAGTATCAAAGCTTGGTGGCTTCAGTACGTTGTCTGAACTGGGTACGCAGGCGTACTACACAGAAATGAATGAAAAACACTTTATACACGATCCTGGACAGAAAAGCCGGTTAAAACATCAAAAATCCGCAGATTTCGTGCTACTGACGCAGTTCTCTTGGTCTACAGCGACAACATTGTTGTTTAAATGCACTGAAAACGGTCTAAAATTATTAATAATACATTTTTTATCAAAAATTTTAAGAAAACAGAGATAGTTCTTTGCAAATTATATTTTGGCGGGCTGATTACCCAAGAAAATTGGCCAGAAATTGATGGATTGGAGCACGAGGAAAACTTTGCACCGGACAAATTGTGATTACGTAATCGAAGAAAATTTTCATTTGCCACTGGAAATGTACGAAAATAATGTAAATTATTCTTGTTTGGATGCGGCATTCAACGAAAACAAACCGAAATGCCCAATTTCAAACGGAATTTGCGAAAATGGGTCCCCAATGGATTTTTAGAAAAATTACACTGGCTGCCACGTTGGATCCTCGGGCACCGGTTGGCGTTGTCAAAACTGTGAAACACCATTGAATATATGATATTTAAGCACTTTTTTGTAAAAAGCCGCTCTGAATAGCGAACAGATTGATGTACGTGTGACGGAGTCTCAATCGGGGGGACACCTCTAGGGTCTGTCTTCGTGACTGGCACCTGCCACACCCACAAAAGCAGCGTAGAAATTTGATACGACACAGTTTTTTAGAATAATACTCACACGACGACTCGAATTCAACTGATTGATATCGCCTTGTTTCGAGTGATAGAAAAATTTCATAGTTTTCTTGTTATTTTTTTCTCTTACACGACGTTCACTGTCACAGCTTTTTCAAGGCCTACTTACCTGGCTCATTATATTTTCGTGGTAGCACACAGAGTTGCCTTATAGCGCTCATTAAACATGCAATACACTTTTTAACGGTTCTGACAAATGTTTATTTTGATTCTTAAAGTAGGCCACTTGTTTTTAAATGCAGTTTTCAACCACACAAAAGATGTTCACGTCGTCTTGGTCTATTGCAGTAAAAAATACGCCATTTTGTTTTAATCAGGAATGCATTGAGTTCAGAATTAATCGAATTGGCCAGAGTTGCATAAATTCATCGCAACTACACACCTGTTTTCGATTAGTTTCAGCTGATTTTGTGCTGCCAGATTTTTAATTTAACCAACACCAAGTTGGCAGTTCCACGACAACTACACTAAATACGTCGACGCTTTTCGATTCAGCGATTTATACAAATAATGTACTTTTGCATTAAAAGTTGCCAGAATCGCAGCATGTAGCGGCTGTGTGTACCTACGCACGTGTTCATAATGAAAGAAGTGGGCATAGCGCTGCCCAAATCGCGAGGTGTGGGCGTAGGCATTGTGGGCGCCTTTTTGCTATTTTTTATTTTCTACTATTTCTATGGGGGTTATATGACGCTTACGCTCTTCGCAGCCATCCTCTTACGTACGTAAACGATAACATAATTGACACGGCTATTACACAAGTCTTTCTTTACTTGCAGTCATTTTCTACCATGCACAAGACCTGCTCTTGTACCATCCGGACTTGCCAACAAATTCACGCATTTACATACCAATCCCAACTATGCACAACCTGCCACATCTTACCGTTAGCATAAAGACGCCTGATGGCGTAACACTACACGCCTTTTGGATCAGTCAGCCGGAGGAACGTTGCAAATCCGTGCCCACGTTGCTATATTTTCATGGCAACGCAGGAAACATGGGCCATCGCATGCAGAATGTAAAGAATGCGCGTTCAACAGCTATTCTTCCTGCTCTTATGTGAATTTGCCTTTTTTTTTTGCAGGTGTGGGGCATTTATCATCATCTTCATTGCAACATTTTAATGGTCGAGTATCGTGGCTATGGCCTATCGACGGGCGTTCCCTCGGAGCGTGGTCTGGTAACAGATGCTCGTGCTGCAATTGATTATTTGCACACGCGCCACGACCTGGATCACTCACAGCTAATACTCTTTGGTCGCTCGTTGGGCGGCGCCGTTGCAATCGATGTAGCCGCCGACACCGTTTATGGCCAGAAACTGATGTGCGCTATTGTGGAGAATACGTTTACCAGCATACGTGATATGGCCGTGGAACTGGTGCATCCATCTGTGAAATACATACCAAATCTGTTGTATAAAAATAAGGTGAATTTTCAGCAATTCTTTGTGACTTCGCCTTCATTCTATAACGCCTTTTCTGTTGCAGTATCATTCACTTAACAAGATAAGCAAGTGCTCGGTGCCTTTTCTATTTATATCGGGCCTTGCAGATAACCTAGTGCCACCGCGCATGATGCGTGCCTTGTATACCAAATGCGGTAGTGAACAGAAGCGTATGCTTGAATTCCCGGGAGGCTCGCACAATGACACCTGGATAGTGGATGGGTAAGACATGTGCCATTTTAAAAATATTCTGATTCTGTTTTGAGAGCGATGAAGAACAGTTTCTATCCCGGCTGTGCTCATTTAAAAATGTACTTTTATATTTAGAAGGTACAATTCATTTATTTACAAATTGCGTGCTTATATCAAGGTATCTTGATCAATCTCTGCATTTATTAGTTTCACTATACTCCATCGGAAAACTTTGTATATCATATTTACTTAATCATTTTCCTGATATTTGGAATCCTGTTCTGGCTGAATCTAAGTCAGAAATATCAATATCAGTAAATCTATTTAACAAATATAAATATTAAAACATAACATTGAAAGAAATTATTTGTTTTATATTCATTCGATGATTAAGATTTTTTATTTAGAATAGTTGATTTTAAGTGCATAGCAAATGATTGATGTCTAATTAATTGTTATATAATTTTATGTTGCAGTTACTACCAAAGCATTGGAGGCTTTTTGTTCGAGCTACAGCAGCAGCCGTCTCCGCTGCAAAAGCCACCGGAGAAGAGTAATGTGTGGGTCGAACTGGAGCATAAAATAATCGACGTTTAACTCCCATTATATATATATATATATATATATATACATGTGTACACACACACAACTGTGTTCTATTGACTGTGTTAACACTGCATTGGTATATTACTTATGCATATATACGTGTATATTATTGTGCTATGTATTATCATGATATTTGCATGTATATGAGTGTTTTGTATAACTGAATTGTGCACTAGGTTAAGCCATCTTGGGCGCTTGTAGTTCTGTTTATGGAGTGGACAAGCCTTGAGAGCTGTAGGTTCCATATTTTAAATGTTAAATTACTTATGTATGTTAGGTTAATTGTTAACATATAACAAGAGAATTAGTTTTAGATTAGCCTAAACTCTAAATCAGGTTCCGCAACTAAATAAATTATTTTTAAATTGAAAGCAGCTAAAAACCCAAAAATTTTTCATCACTACTATTTGGGTCAAAGTCCTCATCATCATCACTTGCCAGCACCTTATTGGCATTACGATTAGAATTTAGCTCCTGCTGTTCCGAATGATTGTCCTCCGTTGTGCGGGTTGGTTGTTTCGCGTCTCCCTGCGAGCGGTGATGAAACACAAAGGAGACACATTTACTCGCCGTCCAAGCCTGTGACAAAATGCTGTCAGGCAGGCCGCGATTATTGGAGCAGTGGAACCACTGCGACAGATGCGAGGTGCAGTCCGAGTTCTCCGGTGGCGGCTGTCTTTGCACATCTTGGAAACAGCGCTTGCACTTAAGTCTGAAAGGCACCAAAAGAAACATAAGATTGGCCCAATACACGCTGAGTCAATGGCACCTACTTGTTGTGGGTGTCGGATAGTACGTTGGCCTCAAACCTAAACAAATCCTTAAGGTCGTCTCGTGTGAAATGCTTTTCTGCCGAATCGTTGTTATCTATAATTGAGCTAGACAACGATTTCTTATGTGTCTGCCGCTGTAGAATTTTCTCCTCAATTGAGCCACTCTGCGGAGAAAGATGTTTTATAAAATTGGATCAGCTATAAATGGTTTGTGACACTTACCGCCACCAGGCGATAGATGTAGCACGGTTTCTTTTGTCCGTCACGCCAGACTCTAGCCATTGCTTGCTCATCGTTTGCCGGATTCCAGTCAGGGTCAAACATGAACAAACGATTTGCGCCTATTAAATTTAAGCCGCAGCCACCTGCTTTGCTGCTGAGCATAAAGAGAAAGCAGTCGGTGGCGGGATCATTGAATCTGTCCACAACCTTGGACCGCTTCTTGATCGTCATGGTGCCATCCAAGCGTACATAACTGTATTTGCGTTTACGCGCCAGCTGCTCGAATAGATCCAGCGTCTGCGTGTAGTTCGAAATGAGAACCACCTTGTCATCGCTGTTGGCCCGTATGGCAGCCAGCATAAAGTCAAGCAACATGAACTTTCCACTCAGCTCCGGATTGACGTCTCTATAAATAGATTAAATATAAGCGCAATTTGAAAATAGGAAAGCTTTTCAATTTACTTTGGCTTGTAGTTGGGCGGCAAAACATTCTGTGAGTTTTCGAAACCTTTTTCCCGTGCCGCTATTTTCTCGTAGATCAGATCAGGATGATTGCATAGCTTCTTCAACGTAGTTATGTCCGCTAACGCCGTCAACGTTGTCTTGTCAGTGCAATCTGTAAGTTAAATGTGTGATTACTAACAAGTCAGGCTTCTAGTTTGACTATAACCTTACCTGCCAGACTTCGACGCACTTGATCCGATTTAAGGAAGTTCGTATAGAGTTGCAGCTGTACTGTCGTAAGCTTGGCACAGACGACCATTTCAAATTTGACGGGCAGATATTTGGTTAGGATTTGATTCGTGCGACGTATAATGCATTGGTTAACTAGCCCAACCAACTCCTGTGTCTTCTGTAATGCACGTTCGCGTTCTGCGTCTGTGGAGTCGGCATTTTGACCACGCAGAATGGCATTCTCGAAGTTCCGTTTGAAATCAGAGCCTGTGCCCAGCATTTCCGGATTGACAAAGTTTACCAAACTGAAATACTCGGTCAGATCGTTTTGTATCGGCGTGCCGGAGAGCAGAACGCGTCGTTTGGTCTTGAGGCCCATTAGCGCCTGGTATGTTAGATTGTCGCTGTTTTTAAGCCGATGGCCTTCGTCGCAGATGACCATGCCCACCTCCGTTTTGCAAAGTATGTGTGAATAGAGCCTAAATGTTTCGTAACTGATCAGCAGCACGGGTGTGCCACAGCGCGTCGCCGTATTCATGGCAAACTGTTCTAGAGTGCGGGTTGTGTCCTCCTTGGAGCCGCCCTCCATTGCCAGACAGTGCATACGGCCGTGCAACCACTTTGTGAACTCCTTCTCCCAGTTTTTGACCAGTGATGAGGGCGACACCACTATGGCCTTCGAGATTGTTGGCTTGCAATCGGGACTCTGGCGCAACAGCGTCCACGTTAATGTGACGCACTGCAGCGTCTTGCCCAGCCCCATCTCATCAGCCATTATGCAACCGTTAAAATTACCTCGTTTGCCCTCTACACATTCATACATGAAGCGCACGCCTTCACGCTGGTGCGGACGCAGCACGTTACTAAGGATTGGATCCACAACGACATGCACCTGTAGCTTGCTGGGATCCAGCGACATGCGCTCGTGCTCCGTGTAAGCGGGTGGCGTATACAGAACCAGTGCATTGCACGCTTGTGGATCGTGCAATGCCCGCCGTACTATGGAACGACGCACGCCCAACGTACGATTTCCACCGTAATCTGGAACATAGTTAGCAATAGGAACTTTGAACTTGCGCGCTAGCACCTTGGCAATGGCCTGCTCATAGTCGCTATTCGCCGTAAAACGTATCGGCAGCGGCAGCTCCACAATGTTGGTGGCATCCCGCAATGCGCTTTGGCGTTTCTGCAGTTCTATTTGGCACACACGTTTGTTTTTCTTTTGTAGTGGCGGGGTGAATGCATCCTTTGATTTGATGCGCACTCCTAGTCGTTGGCTGGGCGCCAAGCTGCGTCTCTACTCATTTAAATTTAAAATATTATTTACTTGATTTTTAATTTAGCATATATAATTACCATTTTATTTAGACTTAAATGCAGACACTTTTAAAAGCGCGGCGGCATCAGCTGTCGCTTTTTCGGGTTTCCAACACTGTCAAGAGGTAGTTTGGTCACATTATGAACGTAATATGTTATGTTACACTGACAGCTTTAATAGATTGTTGATATATCATTGATATTTTCGGTGCTAATTGCCCTACAATTTATTTGTTTATACAGACAAACTTTATATTTTATTTATCAATAAGTTCTGAATTTTCAAGCAAAATTATTCGCCCACACATATTCTTAAGAAGTTCAACATTGACGGTATTACAGAAATTGAAGGTGTCATCCTAGCACAATTTATTTTAGGTGACCATATAGCTATAAGAGTACCGATAAATTGAAACATTTATATATTTTTGCCAACACTAATCTTTTCGCACTATAATTTACTGCATAGAATTGATAAGAACGGCCCATTTAACTAATTTAACTGCCAGCAAAGCGTAATTAAATACGAACAACACCTACTCATATGTGGCATTTCATCATAGCACAATGTGTGCATACTAAACATCTGCAGCATATAAATTAATCTTGCAGCGAGCGGTCGTTGTTCGGGTATCGGCGATTTGCAGTCGTGGTGTTTTGTTATTGGAGCAGCAGCAAACAAGATTAAAAATAAACTATTTTGAAATGTTACAACTTTGAATTGTAAAAAATGCACACAACGCTGCCGAGCATGCCACAAACGCACAAGTGCAAGAAGAAGTGCAATATAAATTCCAAAATTTGTTTGTCGGGTAAGCAGCAAAGGCATAACTGTAAAGTGCCATGTACCTATACATATGTATATACATATATACTATATACTAATTTTTTTTTATGACAGTCTTACCGTCCATACATTTAAATGAGGCGCTGTTTTAAAATTAAAAGCAGCGAAACTCAACTAAAGCGGACAACGCGATAAATTCGAATAACCAAGAGCAACAACAAATAAAACGTTCAAAGTGAAGGTCAACGTCACAAGCAACAACCAACAAGCAACAACAAGGTGATAAGTAACGGCAACTGTGGCTGCCAAAAACCAAATACTAACAGCACCAGCTGCTCGGAATCGGAGCTAGCACTCAGCTCAAGCTTGGCTCAGCCTCAGTTCCAGTTCCAAATCTAGTTCCAGTTTATTGGTAAGATGAGCTCGACATCGTCGCTGGTGGCACAGCGCCTGCTGCTGCCGTCGCTGCTCTCCCTCCTGCTGCTAATCGTCTGCGTGCTCAGCGAAGATGCGAGTACGATACCCACGCAGAACATGTCGCACAAGGAACGCGCCGAGTTGCGGTAATTTAATGGACACATTTACATTTTAAAGCTTTTTTTTTAATTGTTCCACATTGGTTTTGTAGTGAAGAAGCGCGCGAAATGTTCTATCATGCATACCATGCCTACATGGAGAACGCCTATCCTGCCGATGAGCTGATGCCGCTCTCATGCAAGGGACGATACCGCGGCGTGACCCCCTCGCGCGGCGATATGGACGACATATTGGGAAAGTGAGTTCAGTCATCTCCACAAGCACGAGCTTTTGACTATAAATAGATTAGATAAAAAATCCACCTATAGGTATAACTTGTATGATAATCTTATCTTGATAATGTGCCGAGTATATAAGGCATTCCTTCCTTCCATTAATATATGTATGCAGATGATATGAAGCTCGTGTGGTTATAAACTATGAGGACAACTTTTAAACGCATTGGCTAAGCCACTTAGTTAAATAATCAATTTATTAATGTTTATATGTGATTCGTTACAGCTGAGCTTTGTGTTAGAAGGTCAATGTTATGCTTACAAGATTTACATATTTGATACTCATTAACATTTCTCATCGTTTTCCACATTATTTCTATGCTTTGCAGCTTCTCCATGACGCTAGTGGATACACTCGACACATTGGTGCTGCTTGGGGACTTTGCGGAGTTCGAGTACGCCGTCAAGCTGGTCATACGCGACGTGCAATTCGACAGCGACATCATAGTGTCGGTTTTCGAGACGAATATTCGCATGGTGGGCGGGCTACTCTCGGCGCACATACTCGCCGAGTATCTGCAGAAGCAGGCGGACGTAATGCACTGGTATAAGGGAGAAATGCTCGAGATGGCTCGCGAACTGGGCTACCGTCTGTTGCCGGCGTTTAACACGACGACGGGCATACCTCATGCCCGTGTTAATCTGCGGCTGGGCATGAAGGATCCACAGCTGAAGAAGTCACGTGAAACGTGCACCGCTTGCGCCGGCACCATTCTGCTGGAGTTTGCCGCGTTGTCGCGGCTAACGGGTGATTCCATTTTTGAGGTGCGCGCACATGCCGCAATGGATGCATTGTGGAAGCTGCGGCATCGAGGCTCGGATCTTATGGGCACAGTCCTAAATGTGCACTCTGGAGATTGGGTGCGTCGTGATTCGGGAGTGGGTGCCGGCATCGATAGCTACTACGAATATCTTTTTAAATCGTATGTGCTGCTCGGTGATGACAAATATCTGGCCCGCTTTAATCGTCACTACAACGCCGTGATGAAGTACGTCAGCGAAGGACCTATGCTGCTGGACGTTCTGATGCATCGGCCACATGCCAAGTCGCGTAACTTTATGGACTCCTTGCTGGCCTTTTGGCCGGGACTGCAGGTGCTATCTGGCGATCTGAAGCCGGCGGTTCAAACCCACGAAATGCTCTACCAAGTGATGCAGATGCATACTCTCATTCCGGAGGCGTGGACTGTGGACTTTCAAATTCATTGGGGCCAGCACCATTTGCGACCCGAGTTTATTGAGTCCACGTACTTCTTGTACCGCGCCACCGGTGATCATCACTACCTACAGGTGGGCAAGCGAGCGCTGAAAACGCTGCAACAATATGCGAAAGTTGCCTGTGGCTATGCGGCTGTCAACGATGTGCGCACCGGCAAACATGAGGATCGCATGGACTCATTTGTCCTATCGGAGACATTTAAGTACTTGTTCTTGCTGTTCTCCGAGCCGCAAGATTTAATCATTAATGTGGATGAGTTTGTGTTTACAACCGAGGCACACCTGTTGCCGCTGTCCATTGCACAGCTAGGGAATTCCACGTTTAGTAAGTTCATTCAAATATGTTAGTATCCCATTCCATAGTCACTAATTAATATTCCATATATATTAACAGGCTTTCGGCAATCGGACGAACACAATGTACTCGACTTCATGCGCACCTGCCCCAGTTCCAATAAGCTTTTTCCTGAGAAAGTACGCAAACCATTGCGCAACTTCATTACGGGCTCGTGCCCGCGCACCACAAGTGGCAAGCGGCTCAGCGCCCTGGATTTTCAGGCAAGCAATGCAGATCATCTGCGAGCTGTATACGACATGGGCATCACCATGGTTTCGGTAGGCGATCGTAGCCAAGGCAAGGTGCGACTGTTTCATAGTTTCTATAATGTAAGTTTTCTGTTGCTTTTGCCTTTCTTGAGTCGAGACTTTTAATTTTGGTGGCACATAATTAAAAAGCTGACACTCCTGCAGCTTTTATGGTATTGTTTTATAATTTATATCAATCACTTGTATTTTCTACAGGCCAAGAGTCAGGAGGAAGGCGAAATGGGCCTGCAGTTTATGCAGGAAATGCTTGAGCTCACCAAAATGCAGAGCATGAATCAGCTGGCACAGCTGCAGGTGCGTTAATAAAAAAAAAAGAATTATGTGAATACTTATGGTGATTTGCTGATCGACTGAAACATAAACAAACTATAATTGTAAATGCAACCGATGAACGCGATTTTTTTATTGATATACTTGATTGCGCTGGTGAAAATCCTCTGTTTCAGAACTGTTTTGTATTGCAATCGATCTATTTTCAACTTTTAAGTAATATTTAATTAAAAATCGCGTTTCGCCGATTTAAAATAAAAATCAGTAAAATGTTAGATAGGTTTTCGTTGGCGACATATTTAATCAACTAAGATGTTTATTTCTCTTGTAGGCTGTTGCTTATGCTTTGGATGATCAGTCCCAGGACTGGACAGCACTGATGGCCGGCCCATCGCACTTCAGTCCAGAGCTGATCGGCGAGCAGTTTGTCGAGGGTGAAATTGTACTGGCCAGTCCATTGCGGGCCTGCGACGAGCCGCTGCAAAACGCCAACAATGTGGCCGGCAAAATTCTTGTAGCGGAACGCGGCGACTGCACTTTCGTGAGTAAAGCGCGATTGGCACAAAAAGCGGGCGCCACGGCGCTGATCGTCTGTGATAATGTATCAGGTTCTTCCGGCGAGACGCAACCCATGTTTGCGATGTCCGGCGATGGCAAAGATGATGTCGCCATACCCGTTGTCTTCATGTACAACATGGAGTTTACCAAGCTGGCTGCGGCGATGTTGCGACGACCGCAGCTGCGCGTTCGCATAATGCAGATGGTGGAGTTTAAGCGCTGGCAGCTTGCCAAAGAGGCACACCAGAACGAGACGGCAGCAGCAGCGGTAGCATCAGCGGCGATGCAAAAGAAAAAGCCAGACAAGGAATTGTAGTGATTGCTCAACGACGGTGTGGCTCCACGCTTTAACGCGTCAATGGCGCCTTCCTAAGTTCTAAGTTCTAAAGTGCTTTTCGGTTAACATTTCACTAATTGTACAAGCGCATATACATTAGTATATAAATCGTAACTTTCATTCTTGAACTTTACTTTAAGTAGAAGATCTAATAGGAACAGGCCAATCATTAGCTAAAGTTTCACTGGAACTTCTTATTAGTCTTTAGCATTTGAACGAACGCTTAAAGTTTTTTAATATGTTTATCAAAAGCGTTAGCGTAACTCAGCTTCCTAGCAGTAACGACTAAGCGTTATGCAATTGACGGGCTAATCTATTTACATAAATTTAGCCGATTCATCTAACATGTATGATATGATATGGATATGCCATACGCATGTTTTGTATATGTACAGATTTGTACTTGTAGTTTATAAACTTTCACAATTTTTATATGAATTTTTCTTTCGTGTAAGTATATCTTCTGTATATAAATTAGCTGTTAGTAAGAGATAAAAAATAATTGTAATTAATAATTAGCTATAATGTTGTATCTGTAACGATTTAAAGAACGTGTAGTTGAAATTGATTAGTTCATATACCAAATGCGTTTAAAATACATCATTCAAAATAAAAAAGAACCGTGCTCCAATTAATTGCAGCCTGGATTTGGTGTACATCCCGCCTAAAGCCGCCAAAAATTTAGAAATGCATTATATAATTTAAAATTTTATTAATTTATATTTTTGTATTCATTTTATTGTTTAAAGTTGTAACTAAACTTAACAATCTCTTCCGGTGCGTTAAGAGCTCTCCACTCATATATAGTACATAGCTAGCATTATGCTAGAGCTAAGCCTAAAGAAATGTTTTCTTTTAGAACATAAAAATAAACACATTACGTAAAGCTTGATTTGAAAGCTTAAACTAAACTACAAAATAAAATAAATCAACTGGGCTTCATATGTTCTAGGCTTCCAGACAACGATTGATATTGAATTCCCTTCGTTAGGAGCTAAATGTATTTACATACATATAAATTTGTATGCGTTCATATAGATTTATGGCTATAAGGCTATAACTAAACCAGGTTAGTAACGATACTACTTCAAAAGCATCTGTGAATTTACAGTTATATTTAGAATTAGATGGTAAGGAGTTACGAACAAATTTTGGTAAGCATTAAAGGATTCATTAAAATAACTTAAAACTATATTCACTTGCCAAGTTACATTTAAAATTTTGTTTTTTTTTTTAATTTGTTGGTGTGGGATTTTTTTATGTACTCTCTACACGGACACGGGCATTTGTGAGCCAGATGACGCCATCACCTCCATAGCCGCTAAC